AAGTTCACGGACCCAGCCTCGCCTCTGGCCGGGATGAATTGGCAGGAGGTGTCCAAAGTGGGAGCTGGGAGCCGGAACTCTGGCCTCTGGTGTGCTGACCCAAGCAGCCTCTGGCGGCGTCTGAGCTGATGAAGAGGGCTCTGGTCCTGGGGCAGCTCCCACGGAGCGCTGACCACCAGAGGAGATCAAGAGCAGAGGCATCTTCGGCCCCCCGTGGGTTCTCAGGGCTTTGCAGAGGTCCGTCTTGCCACCCTCCCCTCCCCGGGATAAGCGGGGTGGTGAGGGCCAGGAGGCTGCCTGCCAGGGTCTGGTGTTCCCTGCCCCGGGAGGTCCGGGGGTTGGGGGTGGGGGGGAGTGGGCGGGGCCTCTCCCTAAGGCGGCTCCCCCCCCCCAGCAGAGGGCATGGAGGGCCCCCCCTCAGAGCCCGGTTAGGCTGGGGTTGGACAAGGGGGAGGGGAGAAGGAGAGAGCTGGGGGGAGGGCAGGAAGGGAGTGTGAGCAGAAGGCTGTCATGGTCCTGGGAGGCCTGGGGCTTCCAGCTGGGGATCGGACCCAGGGCCTGCAGTAACTGGGGCTGCGGGGCTCACAGGGTCTCCATGGCCCGGATCGGGGGGGGGGGCGGCTGAGTGGGGGCATGGAGGGGAGGACACGCCACCCTGGGGTGGCCTGTTATCCCTGTTACCCCTGGAGGACCTTGGCAGCTGGAGCTAGGGTGGGGGCCCAAGGAGCTTTGGCATTAGAATTAGCTGGGGACAAAGGGAAGGCTGCCTGCGCCGTGAAGGGCTGTGTGCTTGCAACAGCTGGGGACAGGAGAGTGGCTTGAGGCCACCCCCAGGGCTGGGGACTGGAGGCTTGGGAGAGTCCCCAGCGCCCGGGAGGGGCAACCTGGCTGCTTTGGTTCTGACCTCAGGGTGGCTGGCTGGGTCCTTCTTTCCAGCCCTTCTCTTGGCTCAGGCGGAAGACCCTGCGGCAAATCATCCCCATATGGCAACAGAAACTATCCCCTCCGGCAGAGGGACTGCCTGGAGCCAGGGAGGCTCCGCTCAGAACTGACTCCAAGGATATGATCCCCTTCACTGCCCACCGGCTCGTACCCACTCACCTTTGCCCCACATGTTCCTTACATAAACCTGGAAGTATTTCTGGCATTTTGGAGAGAGTCTTTGAGATGCTAGTCTGCTCTCTTCCTGGTGTTGGCCTCCCCAAAATAAACTGCTTTCCTGTTTCACCGACACCCGTTTCTCTGTCTTGGGGTTTGTGACCTCTGGGACTCCTGAGCCAGGTGCCCCTGCAGCCTGGTGCCCCGACCGCACACTCTGTTACAATAATCAACCAGTACTGCACCTTGTGATTAACCAAAGTCCATAGTCTTAAGTCGGGTTTCCTCGGCTTACCCCTAATGTCCTTTCCCGTCACATCCTAGCCGGGCTGCCTGCTCTCAACGTGACTCACCACTGTCCACGTAGACCTCGGTCACCTGGCTGGAGTCACGTTTGGTCTTGGGTTATCTCCACTCTCAACTGAATCTCTGCCTTGCCAATCTATCCTTTTTGGAAGGAAGTCACTGTGTGCAGCCCACACTTGAAGAGTAAATTATTTAGAATTTTCTGCACAGAGTTTGTTTCTCCCCCGCCCATTTATTTATTTATAATAGCTGAAGTTTATTTTATTTTATTTATTTATTTTAAAGATTTTATTTATTCATTAGACAGAGAGAGATTACAAGAAGGCAGAGAGGCAGGCGGAGACAGGGAAGAGAGCAGAGAGCTTGGCAATGCGGGGCTCGATCCCAGAACCCTGGGATCACAACCTGAGCTGAAGGCAGAGGCTTAACCCACTGAGCCACCCCGGCGTCTGGAAATTTATTTTGTACTTTGGCTTGCTACCCAGTACTACTTTATTATGTTGCTCAAATTGTCCCGTCTTTGATAGCTGGGCGCTCTTCCCATGGGCTCCTGTGTTCCTTTTTCATGCCCCCATCACTCTGTGTGTGAGAGCGAGAGAGAGAGCACGAGGAGCACACTTCCCATCCTTACTTTCTGGCATTAGAAACTGCCCCTGGCTCATCCTGCGTATTTCGTGTCCCAGCCCTAGACTGAGCCATTTCTCCGAGGAGCCCTTTATAAGAGAAAGCTGTTAGAAACCATGGTCTTGGCTCTCCTGTGCTCATTGTTGCTGGTGTGTTATTGCTTCTAGGCTCTCTTTGCTGATGGAGCAAGGAAATTTATGTGTATTCTAACACATATCTATAAACATACCTATAGATTATGTCTACATATATAACAAATTGGTAAATGTAATATATAGTTAGATACAGTCTGTGCGTCTCCAGTACACATTCCATATACACATTTTGTATATACACAAGTATCTGTATATTAAGGTAAACATCAGTTCCAATGGATGTCTCCAGCTCTGACCCATCACCACGTGGATCATTCCAGCACCTCCCTCCTCTAGCATCATCCCACTCAAACAGTGAGAAAGCGGGCTCCCAGCATCTGCCTTCCATTTACTTAATTGTTTAATTCCAGTGTGCATGCAGAGTGGTTTCGGAATTGTTAACTCTTCCCCTTGCAGGGAACAACGTTGTCAACTAGAGTTAACAATTCTGAGACCAACCCGCGCGATCACCGGCCCTTTGCCCCGCCCCCCTCAGTGGAGCGCTGTCATACATTTGCCGTACACCTAGATTGTTTGCGCCTGGTCAGCCTTCCTTCCTGAGATCCCCCAGTTTCCTAAAGGATGATTTTTACATTTGCAGACAGATGTTAGGCTCTGCTCTTGCTGCTGTTTGCTTCTCTGGGTTGTGACTTATCCAGGGTCTCCCCCATCACAGCTCTGCACAGAGTAGCCTCATGGCCCTGAACGTCTCCTGGGCTTTCCGGAGTCAGACATTACCCCCCTCTCTCAAGCCCCCGGCAACTGTCCATCTGTTTGCTCCATCTACAGTTTGGCCTTTTCTGGAATGTTGTACAAAGGGCCTCACGTACCGTGTAGCTGTTTTCAGAGTGACTGCTTTCCTGTAGCAGTTTGCAGTATGTATTCAAGATTCGTCCTTTTCTTCTGGCTTCATAGTGCTTCCACTGTCTGGATGGGCCACATGGTTTTGTTGTTGTTGTTTTTAAGGTTTATTTATTTATTTATTTATTTATCTATTTGAGAGAGAGAGAGAGAGAGGAAGGAGGGGCAGAAGGAGAGGGGGAGAGAGAATCTCAAGCAGACTCCCAACTGAGCAGGGAGCCCGATGCAGGACTCGAACCCAGGACCCTGAGATCATGACCCAAGTGGAAGGGAGATGCTTAATGACTGAGCCACCCAGACACCCCTTAAATTCCATTTCTTATGATTAGACAAGCAGGTAAGGCAGGGCCCCTGGAACCTTCTTGAGTGAACTGGGCAGATGACCGGGAAAGGTGGATGGGAACAGGAACTGGAGGGACCCTCTCAGACTTAACAACTTTTTTTTTTTAAAAGAAATGTCACAAGCATTTATTTAATTTATTTGATAGACAGATATTACAAGTAGGCAGAAAGGCAGGCAGAGAGAGGAGGAAGCAGGCTCCCTGCTGAGCAGAGAGCCCGATGCGGGACTCGATCCCAGGATGCTGGGATCATGACCTGGGCTGAAGGCAGAGGCTTTAACCCACTGAACCACCCAGGCACCCCAAACTTGCCAAGTTTTGAACAGAGACACATGGGGGCTGAGTTCTGGAGAGATGACTTTGAAAAACCTCTTCCTGTCCTGCGGATCCTCTTACAAGACCTTGTGTCCCACCAGGGCCCATAGACCCCTGCGGAGAGAGCTTCAGCAGGCTGTCCCTGGGCCCTGGGACTCCATGAAGGCCCTGCGGCACTGGCCCGTATGGATGTGCTCCTGTCAACAGCCAAGACACTGTTCCCCCATCCCTAGTCGGCCTAGACCCCCTAGGAGGAGGGCCAGAACTGAGATAGGATGGGATGGGAAGAATCCACTCACGGTTGGGATGAAGGGTTGAGTTCAGTCACCCTGCACGTGTTTCCCTGAGCTGGGTGGGCAGAGACAATTTCTGGGAGTGGAGGTACTGATGGGAAAGACAAGGCAGAGAAGGTGGGGTTGCAATGACAGATCTTTTGAAGACGGGGCAGGCCCGGGGATGTCCTAGAGACGGGGCTAAGTGGGCAGGGCAGGCCTATTTGAGGAGGTGAACCTGGAGCTGAGACTTGATAGAGTGAGGGAGCAAGCCAAGCAGATAGCTGAGTGAAGAGCATTCCAGGAGAGAGGCAGTGAGTGCAAAGGCCGTGGGGGCAGGTGCAAAGGCCCTGGGGCAGGTGCATGTGTGGTGTGTTTGAGGGCCAGTTAGGAAGCCGGTGTGGTTGGAGTTGGTCAGAGCTAGTTGAGCAAGGGGGAAAGTGGGTGAAAAGGGGCCAGGGCAATGATAGGGAAGGGACTGATCATGCGGAGCCCTCAGGCCCCTGTAAGGACTTGTGCTTCAACTCCTGGTGACACGGAGAGCTGTAGGAGGGTCTGGAGGCCGGCGGAAGTGGTCTCAATATAGGAAATGCTCTAGCTGCTCAGGGGGAAGAGACTGTGGGTAGGAGGGGGGAAGGATGGGGTTAGAGGCAGAAGGAGCCCAGTGGGGAGGCTGTTGCTGTCCTCCATTTGAGTGCTGATGGGGGAGCTCAGGCCGGGGTGACGGAAATGCCAGGAGCAGGGCTGGAGCTAGGGAAGAGACCTCAAGGCAGGCAGAGAGCCGTGTCAACAGGTGGGTGAAGAGACATCCGGGTGGAGCACACCGCTGGTGCAAAGGCCCCGGGGCCGGCCCAGTCAGGCCCCCTAGGGAACAGAGCCGGCAGGAACTGGCATGAATGAGCCGGAGGGGAGGCGGTGTCCACCCGCACCGCGGATTGCCTTACAAGGCGCCCTGCAGCGCTGAGGCCGCGCTCGGCCATCGCCTGCTCGGTCGCCGGCGGCCGGCGGGGGCGCGCGCGGAGGGGGCGGGTCTGGCGGGGCGCGGGCGGGGGGCTCGGCGCGGCGGCCACTGCGCGAGGCGACGCTGCGGTTTCGGCTCCAGGTCCGCACCCGGCGCTCCCCGGCGCGGACGCGCGCGGGCGGGGGTGCGTGGGATTCCAGGCCACGGTCGCCGCAGCCCCCGCGCGTCCCCGCGCACACCTGTCAAGCCCGGCGCGGCCCACGCAGCTCGGGACGTGGGAGGCCGAGGCTGCCGAATCCCTCCCGCCCCGAGGCGCCTAGGGCCAGGCTGCGCTTGGGCGGCCGCGTGGGTGGCCGTGGCGGTGGCAGGCGGCTGGGCACGGGGGTCGCAGGTGCATCTCGGGAGGGTTGGTGGCCTGAGTGGCGCGTGCCTGTGAGCGCCGGGCCGTGGGTGGCAGGTCTAGGCCTGGGGGTATGGGGGGAGGTGTCTGTGGGCGCTGTGGATGGTGGTGGGCCTGGAGGGAATGGGGTGGGGGGTGTTCTGAGCCTTCTGGAAGAAGGCCGATCGCGGCTGACTCGCTTGTGCGGAGGCAGAGGGGGTGTCTGGGTGCTGATCGCCGTCGGGGTGCCAGGGTGGGGGGCGCCGGATGGCGGCCTCGTGTCTGGGAGGGGAGGAGTGTATGCGGTGGCCTCGCTGGGAGTCGCCCACCTGGGAGTGCGGACCTGGGCGGTGGGGGAGGGGAAAGATGTATCCGGGCTGGGGGTGGTTTCCGTGTTTCTCAGCGGGTAGCTGAGAGTGGCTTCGCCCAGGGGGCCTCCCTCCATCTCTCCACGACCCCCCGCAGACATGCTGCTGCTCAAGAAACAGACGGAAGACATCAGCAGCGTCTATGAGATCCGGGAGAAGCTCGGCTCGTGAGTGTGTGTGTGTCAGTGAATGTGTGTCAATGGATGTGCTGTGTGTGTGTCAGTGACTGTGTGAGAGTGGGGGCCGGATGGGTGGCGTGGGACTGTGAGGACCTTCCCCACCCCTCCCCCTCCTTTCCTCCTCTTTGCTCCCCCCTCCCCCTCTCCGCCTCAGGGGCGCCTTCTCTGAGGTGATGCTGGCTCAGGAGCGGGGCTCCTCACACCTTGTTGCCCTCAAGTGCATCCCCAAGAAGGCCCTTCGAGGCAAGGAGGCCCTGGTGGAGAACGAGATCGCAGTTCTCCGCAGGTATGAGCCAGAACCTGGCCAGGCTGCCGGTGGTTCAAGGCCAGCGCCGAGGGGTGTGGGTGCGGGTGGGGCCGGGGGGCTGGGGAGAGCGCCCTGCCTTTTCTGCGGCCCCAGGAACACCTGACCTGGGGCTCGGCCTTGCTGGACAGGACAGGGGTCGCCTGTGGGAGGGAAGAGGGGCAGAGGAGGGAGGAAGAGAAGAGAGAGGAAGGCTTTCCCAGCGCGGGGCTAGGGGCAGGACAAAGCCCTCCTGGACCCTGAGGGGCCCAGTGGGGGCCGTTGTGGCCCATCAGGGCTTGTCTCTTGCCATTGCAGGGTCAGCCACCCCAACATCGTGGCTCTGGAGGATGTCCACGAGAGCCCTTCCCACCTCTACCTGGCCATGGAGCTGTGAGGAGGGCAGGGGCCAGCTGGGGTGGCCGGGGCTGGGTGGGGAGTGGGGCCGATGGGTCGGGATTCGTTAAGCCCGCACTCCCCCCAGGGTGACAGGCGGCGAGCTGTTTGACCGCATCATGGAGCGTGGCTCCTACACGGAGAAAGACGCCAGCCACTTGGTGGGCCAGGTCCTCGGGGCCGTCTCCTACCTGCACAGCTTGGGCATCGTGCATCGAGACCTCAAGGTGCCTGCCCTCTGGCTGCCCGCGGGCCTTGCCCAGCCTCCCTGTGCACCAAGGGTCTGGGGGACTGGACAGTGCCCCGCACCAGGGGCCATGCCAGGGCTGACCTGGTACTTTCTCTGGTGTGTCACAGCCTGAAAACCTCCTCTATGCCACGCCCTTTGAGGACTCCAAAATCATGGTCTCCGACTTCGGCCTCTCCAAAATCCAGGCTGGCAACATGCTGGGCACTGCCTGTGGGACCCCGGGATATGTGGGTCAGTGAGGGGGGCACTCTGAGGCTCGTGGGGGGGGTGGACTGGGGGTGGTGGGGGGCACCGCGGGGAGCCACGTACCGGGCGCAGGGGCGGTGTTGGGTCATTCCCGGGGTTAGGCAGGTGGAGCCTGGCAGCACTGAAGGCATGGCGTGTGGGCGTGCGGGCGCGCGTCCCTCTGTCTCTGACCCCCAGCCCCGGAGCTCTTGGAGCAGAAACCCTACGGGAAGGCTGTGGATGTGTGGGCCCTGGGTGTCATTTCCTACATCCTGTGAGTGACCCCTGGGAAGGCTCCTCTTCTGCCTGCCTGCTCTCTGCTGGGTTGGGGGGGGCGGGGCAGCCGGGTGATCCATGTGTGGGCGCCAGGCTGTGTGGGTACCCCCCCTTCTACGACGAGAGCGACCCTGAACTCTTCAGCCAGATCCTGAGGGCCAGCTACGAGTTTGACTCTCCCTTTTGGGATGACATCTCAGAATCAGGTGAACTTGAAGCTGGCCCTGAGCTCAGGGGTGGGGGTGGCAGAGGGAGTGTGGATGGGCCGGGCTGACCCGACCTCCTCACTACAGCCAAAGACTTCATTCGGCACCTTCTGGAGCGAGATCCCCAGAAGAGGTTCACCTGCCAGCAAGCTTTACAGCATCTTTGGTGAGTGGGACCCATGCCGACCTGTCCCGGGGCCAGGGGGACCACACCCTCAAAGCCTCCCCCACCCGCCCCCGGCTGACCCTTGGCCTTGCCCTAGGATCTCGGGGGATGCGGCCTTTGACAAGGACATCCTCGGCTCAGTCAGTGAGCAGATCCAGAAGAATTTTGCCCGGACCCACTGGAAGGTCAGTGTGGGGACAGGTCTGTGGGCCCGGCTCGAGGCTGCCCCCCCCATCACCGCCCCTCAGGGGACTAGCCTGGGCTGCCAATGGCCTCTGTGGTCCTCAAAGTCTTGGGGCCATGGCCGGGGCATAGCCTGACACTCCTCTCTCTGCACAGCGAGCATTCAACGCCACCTCCTTCCTGCGCCACATTCGCAAGCTGGGCCAGAGCCCCGAGGGCGAGGAGGCGTCGGAGCGGAGGCTGGCCCGCCACAGCCACCCTGGCCTCCAGTCTGGCCAGTCCCCCAAGTGGTGATGCCCAGGTGTGCGAGTGTGGGCCCTGTACCTGCTGGGAGCTGACTCCTGAGTGAACTTGGAAGGGGGTGGGCTCCGTGTGCCCAAGAACTAAGCAGGGCGGACCCCACAGAGCAGAGGAGCCGATAGGAAGAGATGAAGGTGGAGAAGCAGATGATAGAGGCCAGTGGGGGCTGGGGACCGTGAGGACCTTGGCTGGGAGCAGGGGGTGTGGGGCAGGCTGGGGGCCCCTCCTGACCATCTCCTTCCCTGGGCTTCTCTGTCCCTCTCCCCCCAGGCAGACGCTGTGGCCGAGTGCGTTGACTTCTGGATCCCCTTCCCATGGGTGGCCCCTTCCAGACCTCTTTCCCCACCCCCAAGACCCCGGGCTGGCCTCTGCTGGAAAGTTCGAGATGTGTGGGTGTGGTGCACAGCACTGGGGCAGGAGTGGGACTCCCCTCTGCCCTCTGTGCCTAGGGGCTGATGGGTTGTGTGCACGGGGACGCACAGGGATGCCCTCCACTGTTACCACCACATCCCCTCTAGGAACCAAGGCGGCTTCCAGGGGCAGTTCCTCCTGCACGCCGCTCTGTGCTTTGCTGACTGTGGTGGTCCCGCTTTGTGTCGTAGCCCTCCAGCTCCCCTCCAGTTTTCCCCGAATCAATAAAGACAGACAGAGCAATGGGCCAATAGTGAGCTGGAGGGAGGGGTAAGGGACAGGGATGGGGGATGCATGTGGAGGGGATGATGTCACCTGTGGGAAGGAAGCCAAGGAGGCAGGCCCACTGCCCACAGGACCCCAGCACGTGCCCTCACCCATGGCCACCTGAGCGTCTGTTCCCTCCCACCATGGCATGTAAGCTCCCAGGGGTTCAAGATTTTCCTTTCCCTGTCCCCCCCAAAGTGCCAGCAGGAGGCGGCCTGGCCGGCCAGCCACCCTAGCAATCAGCCCACCATGCGGCTCTGGCTCCTTGGGAGAAAATGGAGGCAGCTCAAGCCTTGTGGGCAGCCGAACCGGGATCTGAGGAGTGCCATCTCCAGTCCCCTGGGAATGGGCTGCAGGGCCGGGCTGGGAAGGGCTCACGGGGAACTGGAGGCCGAGTGGAGCCTGGAGGGTGACCAGAGCCCTGGGCTGTCTCCTCCAAACTCTCCCTTCCTTCCCACACCTTTCCATGGCCCTGGCCCAGCAGAGAGCATTTCCAGCCAGCACCTTCTGTGCAGAAGGCTCCCCGTGCCAGAAGGTGGAGTGGGAGCTCCGTGGTTGGGAGAGGGCCCCAGTGGGAGCTCGACACCTGTCCTGCCCTGTGGCTTGGAGCCCATGTGTTCCAGGGTGGGGGAGGGGAGGGCACGATGCTCCTGGGACGATGCTCCTGGGATGGGACACTGCCGTGGACACCCAGGTTGGGTTGGTGATGGCTTCTGGTGGGAATAACAGCGGTCAGTCCTCTGGTCTGCGTGGCCTCTGCTCCTGGGAACCCCATTCTGGCTGGGCCGGGCTCCAGAGTCCTGCCTTCCGGGACCCCGAGCCTCTCCTTGGCCCTGCCAGGCCTTTCTCCCTCCTCCCTCATTAGGGGAAGACCCCTAGGGCCACTGTGTAGCCCTGAGCAGAGCAGGGTTCTGGGCACGCTGGCCTCCCCTTCTTCCCCACTGCCTCCTATCCCCGCTGCTCCCTGCCAGTTCCCACTGCAGGGCGGGACGGATCCTTGTTGATCTTTGGGACCTCAGGGGAGCCAGTGAGGCCCAAGCAGGGCTGGCTGGGGCGGGCTGCGGCAGTGTTTGGGGTTGGACCCAGGGGGCCTGGCTTCCACTGAGAACAGCCAGGCACGGCCTGCACAGGCATGCACACCCGCACACCCGTCTGTAGCTTCCTTCTAGCTTCTTCCTGCCCCCTTCCCGCGCCCTATTGCCCTGTGCATGGCTCCCATGGGCGCCTTGTCATCTCCTGTCCCAACACGTAATGTCTTTGCACTGGACACCTGGGCCTCTGCTTTGTGCCAGCTGCTGGGCCCAGCATGCCAGGTGCCCGCCCTCGGGCAGGAGGCCTTGGAATGGAGGCGGTGAGCTTACTCGGATGATAGGAGTGACCTGCTCGGGGAAGGTAGTGTGCGGGCTGCTCAGGGAGCCCCGAGCCCAGGCACCAGAGCCGGCCTTCAAAGAGTCGCGCTGGGTCCGAGACCACCAGACCGCAGCTTTGCCAGTCCCAACTGGGGTGCAATTTGGCCTCCGACCAGCAGGCGGCGCCACGATCACATCTAAAAACATCCGTCAAGCCTCCCAGTTCTTCACCACTTGTGGCAGCTTCTCAAAACCATTCCTCTCCCCGCCCCGCGCTGCCCTCCTCCCCCCTGCCCCCCCCCCCCGCCCCTCCAGAAATCGGGCCCTGGTGAAGTCCTTACTTGAGGGATAAGCCCTTCCCTTCCCATCTGGGAGTCCGGAGATAGGGGGACCGCCAGGGCAGGCAGGGGCGGCATCCTTCTTCCATTCGAGCCCTTCCCATCAGAGGGGCCAGTTTGTGAGAGAAAAATCTTTGGGTCACGTAGGTGCCCAGGACATAGATCTCGCTGTCTGGGAGAGCGTGGGGGGATGTCGAGGGAGCTTGTTGGGAGGGGAGTGCGGGCTCTGTGAGAGCATTTCGGGCTTAGCGGACCACGGGTGAGAGGCCCAGAAGAGGGAGAGCCGGATTTTAGTCTGTGAGCCGAGGTGAGCCACTGGCCAGTAGCTGGCGCTGAGCCTGGACGGCTGGAAGAGTTGGGCACTGCGAGTGGGGAGCGGGGTCCAGTGGCCTCTTCCCGGTTGCCAGGGACCAGTCCGGAAGCGAAAAGAAGCGGGAAGCGGGTGCCCTGGTTGTGGACCATGCAGGGTAGGTCCCATACTCTGTCTTGGAGCGAAGCTGTGGGTGGCAGGGTTTCTGGAGATGGGGACGGGGACCCTGAGCTGGGTGCGGGGTGGGGGTTCCTGGAAGCTCTTCGGGAGCCGGTGGTGAGCGGGGCGGGCAACCAAGGAGGTGGGTTTGGGCCCATTTACCAAGAAGGGTTCAGTGGGGTGGGTTTGGGAAAGAGATGAGGGCGGTTTTGGGGGTTGTGAGTTTGAGGTGCCTGAAGGGCACCAAAACAGAGCAAAAGAGACTGTTTCCGATCCTTCTCTGCAGACGTGGAGCGAGCTTCATGTTGGGCCTTGCCAGGTGCCGGGTGCGGGGTGCCAGGTGCCGGGTGCCAGGCCCTCTTTCGGAGAGCGTGGTATGTGTAAACTCGAGCCTCTCCTTGTCATCTCCGTTTTACATGTGGGGAAACTAAGGCACAGAGAAGCCAAGTGGCCCCACAGCCTTCTGCTTCTTGACTGCTTCTGTGCAAATGAGGAGCGCTCACTGGGAACATGAGGGTGTGTGGGGACATGAGGAAAAGACGGGGGGTTCTTCACCCTTCTCTGGGCAAGTGTGTGCTGTCAGTGTGAGGAAGAAGGGAGAGTCCCAGGCCTCGGTTCCATTTCCTTACATTCCCTGGGAAATGGGAACCTGGAGGTCTTCCGCAGGGCCAGAGCTGCAGCGTGCGGTCTGAGCCCTAGAAAGACCTCTCTGGAGTTTGGTGTGACAGATGGGGAGGAGCTGGTGGCAGGGACACAGGTCTGGGGAGGGCCACATGGGAGGCAAGGCAAGAGACGGAGAGGGCCTGTGCCCAGGCAGCTGAAGGGGGACTGGAAAGGTGGAGATCACTTGTCATGGGCTAAACGGAGGGCGAAGGTGGGAAGGAGTCAAACCCAGGAGTGAAATGGGCTTATTCACAAGATGACGGACCAGACAGGACTCAGCCCTTCCTGACCCCCACTTGGTGGCACATGGCCCACGGCAACCATGTACTCTACCCTCCAGCTTAGTGCAGGCAGCCCTGCCTCCGTCCCTGTCTCCTCAGGTGCGCAAGCCATGAAGGGTGAAGTGTTTGGGAAATAACAAACGACCCACTTTGGTTGATGGGGGGCCGTGGTGACCAGTGGCTAGAGATTGGCCTGGAAAGTGAACTTTCTCAAGAGGGCGCTGGGGAGCCATTGAAGGGTGGTGACAGGATTAGATTTTTGCTTTGAGAGGTTTCCAGGATTTTTCAACCCTATCTGGCCTTTTGTGATAAATATAAAAACCTCATGTCCAGATCTCATCTCCAGGCCCCATGGAGATTAAAAAAATTTTTTTTCAGAGGGAGACACAGAGTGCACACCTGCTTGCGTGCACAGTGGGGGGAAGGGGCAGAGGGAGAGGGAGAGAATCCCAGCAGGCTACACCCTCAGCTTGGGAACTGATGCGGGGCTCGATCCCATGACCTCCAGATCATGACCCAAGCCAAAATCAAGAACTGGATGCTCAACCGGCGGAGCCACCCAGGCACCCCTGGGCCCCATGGACTTGTTGATAGTTTCTGTCATTGCCAGGGAGCCAAGCCTGCCACCCATGATGCCCCGAGAAGAGGCCTGATGGCTCTTTCTCAATTTGTTCTTATAGTTCCTTTAACGATGGCTTTATGTATTTTTAAGTTGGGTTATTAAGTACAGATGAGTTTAGAATTGCTACATATTTCAGGAAGTTGAATATTTGATCAAAATGTGGTGGCATGCATTATTAATACTGTAATGCTTTTGCCTTATAGTCTACTTTGCCTGACAACTTTCTTTTGGTTAATATTTTTTTCTGGCATATCTTGTTTAATCCTTTTCCTTTCAGATTTAGAATTTGCTTTATTTTACGGAGATATAATTCACATGTTGTAAAATTCATCCTTTAAAATGTACAATGTATTGGTTTTTAGTATATTTACAAAAGTGTGCATCCGTCACTGTGATCTAATTCAAAAACATTTTCATCATCCCCCCCAAAACCCTGTAATCATTAGTGGCCACTCCCCATTTTCCCCAACACCCCTACTCCCCCAAGGTCCTGGCCACCACTGATCTACATTCTGTCTCCGTGGATTCGCTAGTCTGGTATTTCACATAAATGCAATCATACAACCTTTTGTGTTTGTGACCCTTTGTGTTTGT